CCATTTCCCACTCTCACTCCCCTTCCAACTCGAAGCAACCACTCCTCCACATGTCTACTCACACCGACGGGCCCGGGTTCGAGGGGCATCGCATCGATCCTCTCGACGGGCGCCCCATTGACGTCCAACCTCAGGAAAAAAGGTCGCCGTCGTCGGCAGCGGCTGCTCCGGCATCGCCGCCCTCTGGGCACTCAACCGCAGCCACCACGATGTTCACCTCTACGAGGCCGCCAGCCGCCTAGGCGGTCACACCAACACGGTCAAATGGACCAACGGCAAGTTTGAGACGAGCGTCGATACGGGCTTCATCGTCCTCAACACTGCCACCTATCGTGAGCCTCTCCCTTTCTCTCGCCCCCGGCTTCTCTCGCCCCTGGCTTCTCTCGCTCTCGGCTCCCCTCGACTTCTCCCGCCCTCAGCTCCCCTCGACTAACACGGCAAGCCAACTTTATCAACTTCCTCAAGCGCGTCAAAGTCGATACCGTCCCGACAGAGATGACCTTTGGCGTCACCAGAGATCGAGGCCTCTTTGAATGGGCCGGCACCAGCCTCGACGCCGTCTTCTGCCAGCGCAAGAACCTCTTCTCCCCGCGCATGTGGCGCATGATCTTCGACATTGTGCGCTTCAACCAGTTTGCCCTTGACCTGCTCATCACCGGCGACGACGTCAACGATGCCGCTGCCATGAACGGCCACAGCCACGCCTATGGCCACGGGGCCGGACCCGAGGAGACCATTGGCGAGTACCTCGAGCGCGAACGCTACTCGGACGCCTTCCGGGACGACTATCTCATCCCCATGACGGCCGCCGTCTGGAGTACCAGCCCCGACAAGTGCACGCTCGACTTCCCCGCCGTCACCCTCGTACGGTTCATGTAGGTCCTCGCCCGAACACGGACAATGCCTCGCCGCCACTGACAACGCTGCAGGTGGAACCATCACCTCCTGTCAACTGTCGCAACGCGCCCGGACTGGCTGACCCTCAAGGATTGCGGCAAGTCGTACATCGACGCCGTCATGAGGGGCTTCCCCTCGAACCATCTTCACCTTAACAGCCCCGTCACGAGCGTCACAAACGAAGACGACGGCCGTGTCCGCGTCCACCTGCCCAACGGCGACTCGGACGTCTACGACCACGTCATCCTGGCCACTCACGCCGATCAAGCCTACAGGATCATTGAGGATACGGCCACCGACGAGGAAAAATCTATCCTTGGCGCCTTTGACACCTCCGAGAACAAGGTCGTCCTCCATTCCGACCTCTCTCTCATGCCCGTTGCCCGCAAGGCCTGGACCAGCTGGAATTACCTGACCCTCTCGTCGCCGGCTACCGGCAAGCAGAATATCGACCAGATCTCACTCACCTATAACATGAATATCCTCCAGCACATACCGACCTCGACTTTCGGCGACGTCCTTGTCACGATGAACCCCCTCCACGAACCCGACCCAGCCAAGACGCAGGCCTCCTTCACCTACCGCCATCCCCTGTACACTCCCGAGGCGGTCCGTGCCCAGCGCCTGCTGCCGCGTATCCAGAACACGCGCGGCATCAGCTACGCCGGCGCCTGGACAAAGTATGGCTTCCACGAGGACGGGTTCAGCAGCGGTCTTGCCGCCGCCCCAGGACCACCTGCACG